GTGAAGTGACTTGCCTGAGGCATCAGGGCCAGTTGGGTGTTGAGGCAGGTGCTCCTAGAGCTCCTTCTGCTGTTCCCCGCTGCCTTGAAAGCAGGGGACACATGGTATGAAAGCAATTGTCGGACTGGTAGATTATTACTCACTGAACTGCGTGTTCTCACAAATGCTCTGCAGACCTTTCTGAAAGGATGGAACCCTCCCAGCCCTCCTGGTGACATTCAGCATAAGGGCTCAGGGTGGAGGGTGTCTGAAGCCCTGTATCCTCCAACAGTGACCGGCGCCAGCTCTCAAGGTCCGGGTTTCCCTCCTGTGTGCTCCTGCTCTGTGGTGCCTCCAATCACCCTGTGCTCCCAACTTGGGCCCAAGTCCCTTGAGCATGGAAGTTGAGTGTTGTCGCGCTTAACAGCAGGGATCCAGAAGTCAGAGAGACCTGGATTCAAGCCTGCTTCCTTTGCTTACTAGCCTCTTGACATTAGACAAGGCTTGTCTCTTCATTCAACTTTGAATTCATCGAGCTCCTTCGCTGGGTGTTCCAGGCCCTGGAGGTAGGACAGACAAGGCCCGGCTCTCAGGGACCTCACATTCTACCCAGGGAGTCAGATCGTCAGCACATCAACAAATAAACACCATGAGGTATCCTCAGGGAGGGATGAAAGTTTTGGAAGGAAATAGGGGTTGTGACTGAGTGCGTGAGGCAGGGGCCAGGGATACTTGCAGAGGAGGTGACATCTGAGCTGAGTCCTGCATCATGGGAAGGACCAGCCTTGGGGAGGGCAGGGAGAGGGCATCAGGGCAGTGGTCACAGCAGTGTCCTAGGGCAAGGGAGGGCTTGGCCTGCTTGTGAAACAGAGGATAAGGTTTCTTCATATGGAAAACATATGGTAATGAAAATCTCTCTCCCCTTTGGACTTCATGAGCTAAGTACACAGAGCACTTAGGAGAGTACCTGGCAGCAGATGTTAGCTGTTTATTATTGTTCAGAAGATTGTTGCTAGAGGGCACATCCCACCCTAACTGAGACCCTATCTCTGTGGGACACAGTCCCCTTTTCCCTGTTTTGGAAACAGCACTTGCTGTTCCCTCTTTATGGGATGCACTCCCCCACCTTCCCTCCCCCAGCCCGTCTGGCAAACCACTAACAATCCTTCAGCTCTCAGCTTGTTTCAGCGCAGCCACCACCCTGGCCTGGCAGGTCACTTCCCTGAGTGAAGTCCTGCAGCACCTTCCTGAGGGCTGACAGCAAGACCCGGAATGCTTAGCCACGGAAGGCTCTGGAAGGACCTGGCCCCTGCCTCCAACTTCACCTGGCCGTGTGCACCACCCCAGCCCCCAAGCCACAGACGCAGGGCCTTTGTGTGCTGTGCCCTCCCCTGGGCCGCACCCTCCTCCGCTCTCATCCTTCAGGTCTGACCTCAGACCTTACCTCCCCACCCCCCTCTCTACTGCTGTATCTTATAGCACCCAGTTCTCCCTTCAAACATGCACCTCACATTGTGGTTGCAGATGTGTGCGATGGCTACGATTAACGTCAGCCTCCCCATAAAGATGGAAAGCTCCAGAACAGGAACCGCATGTTTTGTTTCCCACTGGCACTTGGAACCTACTCAGTAAATATTTGTTGACGAATGTCCCCACCCTCTCCAACATACTCCTCCCGCTGCTCAGTCCCTCCTCAGCCTCCTTTGCTGGCTCATCCCTTCTATTTGGTCACTAGACGTTAGCGCTTCTCAGGGCCTGACCCCAGCCCCTCCTCTCCTGTCATCTCCCTCCCCAAGTGGCCACACCCCCCCCACGTGCCCACTGGCCTCCATGACTCCCTAAGTACACCTCCAGCCCCGGCTCTCCCCCAACTGCAGACCTGTATCTCCAAGGCCCCGACACCTCCCCGCGGATGTCTCAAGGCATCTCAAACTCAGCACATCCCATGCTGAGCCCACAATTGTCTCCCTAAACCTGAGTCGAGTGCAGGGCTCCCCACCTCAGGGAGCAGTGGCTCCCCCATCCATCCAGTCAGGCAGGACAGAAACCTTAGTGTCAGTCTTGGTGCCTCCCGCCCCCACACACCTTATATCCCCCCGCATGGGGTACTTGTGATTTCACCCCCAAATACCACTTAACTGCATCAGTCTTCGCACCCCGCACCCGCCATGCCCTCCGCCTGCACCGTCTCCCCGACTCCACTCTTGCCCACGTGTGCTGGCTCTGATGTGTTCTCCACAACAGCCACAGCCGTGCTCAGCCTCATCTGATCGAGTCGCTCCTACCTGAAGTCCCTCAGAGGCTTCTCATTGCTCTCAGAATAAAGCCAGTTCCCCTCTGTGGCCCTGCCAGCTGGTCCTTCCTCCCTCTTCCTGCAAGTGCTGGGTGGGAAGGGAATCCATCCTAGGTCTCGGGATGGATACAGGAGAGAAGCACAGCCTTGGGGCCTTCAGCAGGGTGACTGAGGACAGTGTGGCCCTTTCGCTGGAGTCTGAGCTGGCCCAGGGCTAAGCAATGCTTTCAATGACCTCTTTCCATAGAGCCAGGCTCTTCAAATAACCTTTGTCTTTATACATCTAGAATATGGGTCTGTCTCCCACTTCCCCTGCTGGGGCCCTCGGTGACTCAACTTCTGTCCTCAGTGTTAGTGGGGGCTTCTCGGTCTAGTGTTGCTGACCCCAGGAGGCCTCTTCATTTGGAGACTGACCCAGAGGATGGTCTGCATCTTGCTGCAGTTCCCATGGGATCTCTCAGAAACCAAGGATTGGGGTCCACCTCCACTGATAAACAGAATCCAACACTTTGTCACTCTTCTGCTGCTGTCCCCTGCCCCAAGCCTCTGCCCTCCCCTCATGCAGCGTTCCTCAGCATAGCTGACAGGGCCATCCTGTCACCAAGATGTCAGGGCAGGGCTTTGCTCCGCTTCAAATGCTCCCCTTCTTCCTCTGAGTACAAACCACAGTTCTTAACATACCCAGGGCCGACCTGATTTGGCCTCGTTAACTCTCTGGTCTCAACTGGACTATGTTAACCTCTCGCCCTCTCTGTCAGCCGTCTGGCTGCTTGCTGTTCCTCAGCTCTGCAGGAGCATTGAACTTACAAGCTCTGCCTAGAGCCTCCCCAGATAGCCCAGGATTCCCTCTCTCACTTCCTCCAGGGATTTGCCCAAAGGCCCCTTCTTGGGGACATCCTACCTGGCCTCCCAATCCGAAATCACCCCCTCCCCACACCTCCTATCCCCTCTCTCGGCTCTGTTTTTTCTCTTTAGCACTTATCACCATGTAACAGACCATATATTCTACATATTGATCTCATTTATGATCATCTCTCCCAAATAGAACATAAGCCTCATGAAGGCAGGGGCTTTGTTGGCTTTCTTGTTTCCGATCTGCCATGCCTAGAACAGTGCCTGCTGCATGAATCTGTGCTCCACAATGAAGGAACATTGCTCTTCTGCCTTCCCTGGGTGTGGGCTGCATGCTGAGCCTGTCTGCTCAAGATCAGGGATCTGCCGCAGGCCTTGCCAAGACCACTCCTTTCCCACCTGCCCCAAACCCATTTCTAGCATGGGGCCCCCCAAAGTCTGCCCTCATGCTGAATCCTCAGGACTTGATCACATTTTTGGAGTCTTCCCAGGATAAACCAATGTCTGCACACTGACAGTCATGATTATTCTTCTCCAATCCTCATTTATAATTATTATTCTATGTGTAATGATTCATCACTGCTCTGTGATTCCAGTTGTAATTGCTGGCCTTCTGAGGACTGGGCCAGCTTGGACTGTGTGCCCATTTTCACAGGGGCTGCCCCCAGACACGTGAGCAGGCAGGCCTTGCCAAGTGGCAGAGGTGCTCAGCAGTTCTCTTCCTCTCCACTGGCTCTCACTTCAACCGCTTATGGGAATAAGAGCAGAGGTACTAAAAGAGGTAATGATGCTGTCTGGAAGAATTTTCTAGTATTTCTTCTAGTCTAGGGCCTGTCCAGGTGAGTTTGGGTAGCAGAACGAGGAGACTGAATATAAGAGGGTGTAGTGGAGTCTCCAGCTACAAGCAACCTCTCCCTGCCCCTCAGCAGTGGCCTTGACTGATGGCCAGGAGTCAGGCCTTCCTAGAGGCCTCCTGTGTAGTCTTTTGCCCATGCACTTGAGCCCCCACCATGCCATGTGCCCACTTCCTTCATGTGAATCTGCCCTGTCCTGCTCCATGAAGTCCCCAGGACTGGGGCTCAGAGCCCTTCAGAAGCTGCCATACCTGTCCCCCAGCCTACTGCTAAGCTCTGCACCAGCCCCCGCTTCTCACTGCTCCTGAGACACATCTGACACCTTGGTGCTTCTGGGCCTTTGCTAGTTGGTGGCAATGCCCTCACTCACAACATGGCAGAGGAAGTCCCTCTGAGACACCAGCCACAACTTTGTAATCACCCTGTGACCTCCAAAGAGGGGGCCCTCTGACCTGAGACGAGCCTCAGGGAGGCCCAGGTGCTGCCTTTCCTCTTGCGAGGAAAATCCTCTCCAGGGGCCAACATCAGTTCTTTAATTTTCGACCACACATGGATTTACCCTCTGACCTGAGACGAGCCTCAGGGAGGCCCAGGTGCTGCCTTTCCTCTAGCGAGGAAAATCCTCTCCAGGGGCCAACATCAGTTCTTTAATTTTCGACCACACATGGATTTGCTTTGCAGGAGGAGGCAATAGAGGGCAAGGCAGGGGCTGAACCTCAAAAGAACGTGGAGCACTGGCACCTGTGGCTGTCATGCAGCCCATGAGCACCCCTCCCTTTCCACCTTTCTGGCTGCATCAGAGCCAGCAGAAGGGTGGAATCAGTTGGAAATAAACATTTGTCAGAGTTGGACCAAAAAGAATGCTCTTGGCATTCCAGAATGTATAGCTTGCAGGTGAGAGTTAAACCAGTTCTTCATGCAGAGATCAAACACCTTAGCCCGAAGCATGCAGCTTTAGCCCATCCCCAGTGCAATCACAGAGACAAGCAACAAGGAAATTAATGAGAAGAGTTGCCAAATACCCATTTTTCCTTTTCTTCCATTTGCTCCTTTTTCGCCTTTTGGGCCCTGGAGACCAGGCTGTCCATCTGATCCATTGTGTCCTGGTTGCCCACCGACTCCTGGAGGTCCTGCATCAAAACATGGAAAAATCTTAAAATCTTTAAAAATCTTCACTGAAGTTAATGTGATTTCCTTTAGCCAGTGAAACTGAGCAGGATTTCCCACATCCTCTCCTGCTCCTTCCCTTCCTTCTCCATCTGAAGCAGTGACAGGTGGGGGGATGGTGATGGCAGGTTCTCAAGTGAGAGGGGCGGGAAGGAGGGGTTCATAGCCAGGGCTGCCTCCAGGCTCCTCCCCTCCCCAATCTGTCCCTTCTGAGGGATCCTGGGGATCAAGCCACTCATAGCCTCCCCTTAAACTAGAAAAGTCCATGGTCTCTTACCTGGTGGGCCAGGTGGTCCTACAACAGAAAAAGAAATTCAGATGATAAACCACACAGATGGAAGAAAGCAAAACCAGCACCATGCCCAAAAAACAGAGCGCTCCCTCCCCACCTCAAATCATCTACTGACCCTAAGGAACCAATTCACATCTTTTATTTAGAACTCATTATATGTGGCCAAAATATCCTTAAAAATAATTCCACAAAGATCCACTTGCCAATCAAAACACTTAAGATTCAAGGGACCAAGAATAATTCCAGAGCTGGCTTCACTATGAATTCATGAATTAGTCATCTCTCAAGCAGTCAACCTAATTAACTAGGGGTCAGTGACAGAAAGGGGGGGCCCTAGTGCGGCCCTGGTGTAGGCTAGGTGCAGCAGATGAAGGTGCTGTTATCGCAGGCTGGGACCTGGCTGTCACGAGGGAAGTCCTCAGTGCTCGCATGCAGCCAGCTCGTCTCCTCTGGGCTGCCAAGGGGAGCTGAGAGCAGAAGCTGGCTCGCTGGGTCTGTTTTGTTGCCTGAAAGAGCCTGAGAAAAATTGAGGGCCCAGATTAGGTAACAAATATTTTCCTTAGCGTGTAATTACCCAAGGATCTAAAGAGTACAGATGAATCATTTACACATAGTCTAGCAAAATGGTCTTGCTTCCATAGACAGGAGTGTCTTATTGTCCACTATTCTATTTGAGCACTCAGACAAGCTAATGAGGTTGCCACATGAGAGTTGAGTTCCTTTTGTTTCTCTAAACCACATATAATGATTACCAGTATAGGAGTGGAAAGGCCTTTCCATAAATCCAAGCCTATGACTATTCAGAAAACAAGAATTTACTAAGCACTTACTATCTGCACCTACTTGACCAAGAAATCTTGGTCCCCATGTCTGTTGTGTTCACAGTCTATGCACAGAAGATGGACTCTTTGAAACCGCACTGCAATATGAGAGAGCTACAAAAACCAGCCACCCAAAGGGGTACTGGGGCAGTCTGGGCACAGCAGTCAGAAAAGGCTTCCCAAGAAGGTGAGCCTTGAGCTGTGGCACTGAAGAAATGGTAAGCCTTAGATGGCTGCAGATGAGGGCCAGACATTCCATGCAGGGGACCAGCAGGAACAAACTGCAATATGAGAGAGCTACAAAAACCAGCCACCCAAAGGGGTACTGGGGCAGTTTGGGCACAGCAGTCAGAAAAGGCTTCCCAAGAAGGTGAGCCTTGAGCTGTGGCACTGAAGAAATGATAAGCCTTAGATGGCTGCAGATGAGGGCCAGACATTCCATGCAGGGGACCAGCAGGAACAAAGGTACAGGATGGGAACTTGGAAGTCAGGGCAGGAGAAAGAGAGAGGATTGGCCAAGCTGGAGTGTGTAGGGATGAGGTTGAATAGGGTCTTGGGTGGGGTGGACTTGAATGCCAAGCCAAGAGGTATAGACCATATCTGCAAGGCAGTAGGGGCGATGGTAGATTCTTAATCAGGTGGATGACACTGTGAAATCAGTGAGGTTTGAGATCCTCTTTGAAGCTGGAAGTTGAATAGAACTAGGTGGAATGAGATGAAAGAGGCACAGAGATATAAAACGTGGCAGGGGCGGGGGAGGCGGAGGACGGGGAAGTGGAGAAAATACCTAGAAGAGCTCTGTAGTTTAAATCAGTAACAAGGTTTTCGATAAATGTGGGGGCTCTAGAGTCGTAGAGAAAGGTAGAAATTCAAGAGGTATTTCACAGAATGAGCAAGACTCCATGTCTGATTGGGTAGGGGGCAAAGGAGGACAACTGGAGGCCTGGGATACCGCCAGATAGACGAGGGGACTATTGGAAGAACAGGTGTTTGTCCTACTTTGGGCAAAAATGCCTTGGTGAAAATGGCATCATCACATTCTCTAGGGTCCCTACAGCCTGTGGCTACACAACTTTACCACCAGATGGCGCACACGTGTTGGAAAGGGGGTGATGTGACTGAATAGAGGTTGGGGGAAACCCATCGATCATCGTTCCTGACTACAGATGGAGCCAAATTCAGATGTACAGACCGGTGGAAGGACAATCTGACCGTAAGAAGCAAGAATTGATTGTATATAGCAGGCTTCAAGAGTTCCCAGGACAGTTCAATAAACATGTCCTTGCAGCGGGACTACTGGTGAGAACTCCTGCTGGAGCTGGATATTTAGGACCCATTAGCCATGGCCAAGGGCCTCACTATGGTGAAATGCTTAGATTAGGGTTTCCTGAAAGAGCTCTACTGACACCCTATGGCTACAGTCCTATCACAGAAATCCATAGAATTACCTGCAATGTTTGTTAAATGCAGATACCTGGGCCCGATCTGGAAATTGGAATGCAGTCTGGATTTAGAGTGCGGCCCAGGAACCTGTGTTTTTACCAAGCACCACAGGTGACTTGGCTGCAGATGGTCATGGGCCCCCAAAGTGATGTGAAAATTTTCTGGGAAAAGAATCAGTCACAAATAGCAGAGCCTTCTAGGGGTCCCTGACCCTAAATAGGTTCAGAGCTGCTATTCTCAAGGGAAGAGTAAAACGTTCAGGCCAGATTTCGGGATGGAAGGGCGGAGGGCCACACCCCAGCTTGAGGGAGGCAGGTGAGGGAAGAGGAAGCAGGAAAGAGAGAGAGTAGTCAGAAGACACGCGGGAGGGAATTCTGCAGGTAACAGGAGAAACCCAAAACTGCGTCAAATAATATCAAATGTCATGATGTGTGCTAACTGTGCATTTAAAAAAACGTCTTCCAGCATATTTCCTCACTTCCTGACCCGTCTCCCCTTGTTGAGTGCCAGACCCTCTACGAATCCACATTCACGCTAATACTGTATGTAGGGCTGGTGTCCTGGGCCTGCCACCGGTGCAGGTGCACAGGGCTCACCTCAGAAGGGGGCTCTGTGCTTGGGTTTAATGTCTCCCCTTGTTGAGTGCCAGACCCTCTACGAATCCACATTCACGCTAATACTGTATGTAGGGCTGGTGTCCTGGACCTGCCACCGGTGCAGGTGCACAGGGCTCACCTCAGAAGGGGGCTCTGTGCTTGGGTTTAATGCTCTGTGGCTGCCGTGTAGAAATTCTTAACAATTTTATCTTTGCATGTGTGTTTAGTAAGTGAAGTGCATGGGACAGTGGCGCATGCGATGGAGCCTTGGTTATCACACCCTCTGGTGAGGCAAGGCTTTATGTTCTCCAAACTCGGTGACATGGTCCTCTTCCTGGACCCACAGAAAGACTACACTTCCCAGCCCTTCTTGCAGATAGGGTGGGGCAGGTGAAAGATGGGGTCTGGCCAGGGGGATCCATCTTGGGGAAGTGAGACCCTTCCACGCCTGGCCTTTAAAAGCACCGAGTGCTGTCCTTTGGTCTCTGATCTTTGGGGGAGACGTTGGTGCCTGGTGTTGAGATGATGGAGCCACAGCACGGCAGCAGCCTGCATCCCTGAATCTCTAGGGGAAGCAGTACTGCCTTGGAGAGTCATCCACACTCCACTGGACTTTGTGGAGTGAGAAATAAGCCTTTGCTGTGTTAAGCAACAGATGTTTTAGTTCGTTACCCAAGCATGGCCTAACCTTTCCTGACAAATACACCCCTCTATCTTCATAATAATTTATAACATCTCCCCCTACCTTTTTTTCCCAGATAAGCTCTGGTGGGTTCCTACTACTAGCAAACAGAAGAATCTTAATTGAGACAGGACATACAGGCCCTGCAGTTATGGGGAATTAATAATAAAGAAGTATAAAGCTCACTCCCTATCCTCAAGAGTGGCACTGGTCGGTGGCTGACACTGCAGGCCTCTGGACAGCCTGACCGCCTGGCATCTCCTGCCATTCCAAATCAAAGGGAAGAAAATCACCTCCAGGAAGCTCTAATTTCCCCCAGTAGCCTCCTCTTTCCCCCTGGGATGGTGTCAAAACAGGTGTGGCCTGACCCAAGTCACCTGCATAGCACAGCAATGACCATAAAAGAAATGGCTACACATTTCCCAAAGCCTTGCTGATAGAAAAATCAAAGAAGCCAAACCAAACCAAACAGAAGAACTTCAGAAAGTGAGGCCTGATTCTGCTGCCTTAGAAAGCACTGAAGATTCTCTCCATAAACCTGATGCTGCCCAGCCCGGGGGTCTGTAGGCCTGAGTCTCGCTCACTCCACCTCCGAGCAGGGACTCCCTAGGGCCCAGGCTTCCTGGTGGCCACAGCTTCAGAGCCAGACAGGAGCTCTGGCCAAAGGGGTGGTGGTCCCCCCTTTCCCATGAGAGTCAGGAATGCTTGGCTTTCCTTCAGGGATGGCCTGAGAGGGACCAAGTTCTCACACTTGGAGGCTGAATCCACCAACACTAAAACAACCAGCTAGTTTGGTCAGTGCATACAACTGAGTGAAAACATGATCAGTTGCACCAGCTGTTGCTGAGTACAGCCCATGCATTCGTTTACCAAGACGGCACTGGCTGCAGCTTTGAGGCCTAACTTCTCACCTGTGTGCACTGGTATACCCTCTGCAGCCACCCTTGTCACCAGGTATTGGGCCAGTCCCCCTAAGGCACCTGACTTGGAAAGGTATTTTTCCTCACGTCCCCATTAAACCACAGCTTCAGTGCAACCTTATTTACAGGGTGCATTTCAACTTTATATGACCGTGGTAATAATAAAAAATTAGAGTAGGGATGGCAGATAGGTTTTGCTTCAAGTGACAGCTACAATCAATTAGTAGTGGTTTTCTAGAACACCAAAAAAGAATGACATGAGGCCATGCTCAGCAGGAACTGAGACCCGCTACTGATGTTTGCCTGGGTATATGATAAGGGAGTAGGGAGAAGTGCTATCACTGGGTTAGGGTCACTTGGCTGCAAGGAGAATGGGCACTGTAGATTTGAAGTGCCTCTGCCCCAAAAAGCAGCTCAGCAACGTGATGGTTTACACATTTTCCAACAAGTCCATACGTAGAGGCCACTGTAAGTGAAGAATAGCCCTTCTTCAAGATACCTGCTCCTCCAGAAGATATGCTTCTGGGTCCCCAAGGAAATCTGGCCTCAGGAATAAAATGTATCCAGAGAAGCATATGTTGTTTGACAAACTCCGCACTAACAAAAACACCTAACTACTCTAACGAGGGAATTACCCTCACTATTCACCTGAGATGTCAAAGGCTGCACACAACTATGTAGCATCTGTCCTGCTCTCCATAGCAACCACAGCTAAGCCAAGGAAAAGAAGCAGGAAGAGAATTTCATAGTCACAGCTTGACTAGCCTGAAGGTATAAGTGCCTGCCTCTTCAAAGATGAATCTAGCATACAGCCAGGTCCTGTTCTCAGGTTCCAAGCCCAGGCTCTGCCCTGGTGAACCCTCCTACCCGGCATCCTCTTAGGGCTCTGGACCAAGGCTCTCTGCCTACCCCTTGAAGTTGCCCAGTTCAGTCCTATGTCCTGCCACTCACCCTTCTGCCCCCAGTCCAGGCAGTGTGGTCTATCCCAAGGCTCCTCCCTGCTTTACAACTTCTACTTTTCACACCTAAGTTTTAATGGAAGAGCTCTCTGTGCAGAAGGAGGCCCAATTTCAAGCTGGCATGAAAGGAGAAAGTGCTGGCTTTTGAAAAGCATTTTGAGGTGCCAAAGAATAACCTAATCATCCCATTTCCAGTGCAGATGCGGTCGCCCGCTCCCCGTCAATCTCCCCTGAGTGGTTTCAATAGCTCTGTCCTGCGCATTCACCGCACAGTCTGGCTCTCAGGTCCATCACTGTACAAATCAAAAAGGAAGAGGCTTTTCCTAAGCGCTTCAACAAGGCTTTTGTGCCTGTGATTCCATCCATCTGAGCATTTCTCCAGCACTCATTACTGTTATATGTGGGAACTCTGAAAAGGGACTTCCAGAGATGGAAGAAAGATGCTTAAGCCACAAGAGTTATAGAATAAAGGACCAAGCTGATCTGAAGATGTTTAATTTTCTGTGAGGGCCAAAATGTGACTTGAGTAATTCAAGTAGCATTTCCCAAGAAGCCACAGAATTACAGTTTTTCTCTCGGAGGCCAAAGCAAGTGAAAGAGAATCAGACTTGGCTTTGGGGTTCATGAGGGAAGATTCTTTCTTACCAGCTCACCACCTCCATTCACTCACTCACATATACCACAGGTTTCTGGGTCCAGCAAACTTACATTGTGCTCCTAATGCACAGCAGATAATGAGAAGGACTGGGGAGAGAATACTGCAGGAAAGGGCGAGGTTTCTTACCACCCAGTACCTACTGTGCAGGGTTTCTCAGCCCTGTGATGTGCTAGGCCACTGACTGACAAAAGCTCCACATGGCTTCAAACTCTTGGGGTTATCTTCTAAAGCACAAGGGGCCGTGCTTTTCCTCCGTAATATACTGTTCTCATGAAAAATAATTCCCCCCTCCCCCATGTCCTCAGAATGCTAGGGCCCTTTGGCGAGGCAGGAAATGCAGTGTCTGAAATCAGCCTTGGCCAGAGCCTTCCACAGCTTGGGGAACAACGATGGGGTTACTGCTCTGGGGTCTGTGTCCTCCCTTGTGCTCACTTTCTGAAGGCAGGAGGCAGATGGCCCTCCCCCCAGGCGAGGCTCAGAACTCTGTCACACATGGGCACAGGTAAAATTCCTGCCATAAGGCTTGCTGGGCCTCCTGCTTAGTTTCTTTCCTCCTTTCTGTGTCTTGATCCATTGAGTGGAGGGGAACTGGGTGAGACCAGCCTCCATCCCACCGGCACATGGTAAGCACCATGTGGAAAGAAGCAGGAACAGAAATTCTTTCCTTCTTCATGAAATACTTTCCTTCTTCATGAAAAGTATTTTCTTGACTACTTAGCAATCTGCTTCCAGAGCTTCCTGTTCATGCTATATGCATGAGGTAGGGAAAAAATTACTTCTGAAAACTCTACTTCTCTAGTCAAAGAACTCTACCTCTTAGCAAGGTCTTTTCCCTTCTTTCTTTTCCCTTTTTAAAACTAATGGGAATAAGGAAAACATCTATGGCTCTGGTTCAAGATCCCACCCATTTCTAATTACCTAAGTCCTAGTTATTTTCCATGGCTATATTTCTATGGGAATACCTAAAACATTTTTCATAATTATATTGCAGTTGGTTTCAGTCCATTAAAAACATCCGGTGAAAGTAAACCAACGTGTATTTTAATAACATAAAGTACTCCGAGGGGTGCGTTCTGCCACCGGCCTTTGGCTAGTTCATGTGTTCACTGTGGAGCAGCTCTTGGTGGCCTACCTGTCAGGCAGATGCCCTTGGTGCTGTTGCACAGGTCCACCATCACCCGGACCTGCAGGGGAGAGAGGGGCGTGAACAGCAGACCGGACGCAGCGGGCCCTGAACTTGCCCTCTATTCAGACCAGCGGAAAGCAATCAGAAAAATTCACCAAGTAACTTCAGAAGAATATGCAGAAGTCCCAAGAAAATAGTTAACACTGAAAAGAAATCCTTAAACGATCTAAGGATATTTGGTATCAGCAGCTCATCCAACAACATCATCAACAGAACTTCCTTGATTTCTATCTGTTGGAGTGAGCAGGACTGAAGCCATGTTGGGACCTAAAACCACCTGGGCTGCAGAGGGCAGATTTTCAAAAGGACAGTTTTTTTTTCTCTCCACTCTTTCTTCCCATCCCCAACTTTCTTATCTTGCTTGCTAGATAAGAAGGAAAACAAGGCTGAGAAGTTTATCAGTACTTTGCAAAGCTAACAGTTCTTTTCTTGAGACTCATAGAGTTTTGAGAAGTGATCAAGGCCAAATGACTGGAAGCTGACCTTGGGCACCAGCTAAATCGACCAGAGCTCTGCGAAGCAAAACTATGCAAAAGACTTTGCAGAAAAGATGATTCTACTCCAGAGCAAATCAAATTCTTGCAGGGTCCTGAGATAACAGCGAAGATGAGAACAGAAACCAGAAGAAGCCTTGGCAAGACCTTGTACCTGACTCGTGGATGCGGACTCCTCGTAGCTCACTCAGCTTGAACCTGCAGAATTGCACGTACTACCCAGACCCTGAGATCAAGATGGGAGCAGAAACCAGACAGAGTCTTGACGAGACCTCGCACCTGAGACTTTGCATGAAGCCCTCGCTGCTCATGGGACTCTCCCTCCTGCTTTTCATTTTCCCACGTTCCATTCCCTCATCCCCCCTTTAAAACCCTCCCAGTAAATCTAAGCCATTGAGATGGGATAGCTTACCACCTCCTTCAGCTGAAACACCTGCTTTTCTAACATGAACCATTTGACTTCTGAGGTTTTTTTTTTTTTTCTCAAGGGCACAGACAGCCAGACCTGAGTTCGGTAACACATTGAATTCTGATAAGATAAATGATGGTGAGGTAATTGCCAAATTTAATTTTCACCGTAGTAATGAGCTCCCCCGCCCTCAGCCTCTAAAGGCTTCTGTTCATGTGAAAAAGTGGTGCACACACAAACACTTCTATGTTTCTCTCTTGCTGCTTTTAAGATACACTCTTTGTCTTTGGCTTTAGAGAATATTTCTTTATAATACCTGCGGGCCTGAATAAAGTGTGTGGGTGAGCCTAGTGGTCAGGAGCTAGCACTTGCTCACTGGGTGAGCAGCAGTGAGGTACCTAACCTCTAGACATGTTGGTTTCCTTCCCTGGAAATGTGAGTAATACAAGCACATGCCAACTCAGGACCTGGCACATAGAAACCGCCCCTAGATGGTAGTGACTCTCATGCCATGTGGACACTACCCACTCACCACTGGATGACCCCCCTGTGGTGGGGGTTGCTGCAGCGAAGGGTTAGTTAGACTAATCTTGAAACTGAGCCTGCATAGGGATTTCTCTTAGAAGTTTTCTTTTTCCTTCCTTTGCCCATTTACTTAGTTTCCATATGCCTAAATGTAATGAACCAGAGCTGAGTCTCCCTCCTCTTCTCCTGCTTTCCTGATCAATCTTTTTGAACAAAGGCATTCCAAAGAAGCGCCAAGCTGATGTAGATTGTGTTAGGCATGTACATTAGTCAAGAGTCTGAGTCAGGTACTTTAAAGATCCAGTGATGGCTAAGGTCATTGTCTTTAAATTTTCCAGCTTCAAGATAACAACAGGGACTTGAGGCTCACCAGAACACTGGCTGCACACCACGTGACATCAAGGAACTTTGTTCATGGAATCCTGACCTCTGACTCAAGTCACCAGCAAGTCCCATGATCCCCTTCTCCCCTACAACCTTCCTGCATGCCCCTGCGTTCCTTTTCTTCCTTGAAAAGTTAGTCTGAGATGTGGGCTGACATTGTTACTCTGCTCATCTGTTGTTCTCCTGGCTGTAAATAAATTCCTTCTTCTGGCACTATTTTTGTCTCTCTGATTGGCTCTTGGAGTGATGAGCAACCAAATTCAATTAGATCTCTTTGGCTTGGTGTAGGGCAAATCCTGGACATAGCCCTATACCCCCGTCCCATGCATACCAGAGTTCCCTCTCTCCCCTGGGAAACAACCCCTGACCAAGGTCGTTACCCAAGGAAAGGCATGCCCCCTTTAAGACAAACAGAAGACTGGAGGAAGCCGGGACCCTAAGTAAATGAATTAGCACGCTGGTGCTAGAACACTGATGCCAGGGAGTAGTGAGTAGATTAACGTCTACTCAGCCAGATCTCCGCACTCTGAGTTATGTGATCTGGGTGAAGAAGTTCTGCACATAAGCTTGCAAATGATTTATACCCCTACTTTGATCTGTTCACTATATAACTGCTGTATACCCCCGGTAGTGTGGATATCTAGCTGGCTGGCCACTGTCAGCGACTCTCGTAAGTCTAATAAACCGATGTCTCTACATATTGTAACACTGGGTGAGTTCTCTGGAATAGGCAAACACTATATGAGTGCCCTCTCAGATGTGGGGCTCCCACGATACACTTGGTTACAATATCCCCCACACCTACTGTGCACCCCGAAGGAACCCAGAAAATTTCATTACAAAATATATCACGCTGGTACAGTGGTTATGACACCAATCCATGTTATTGGTCTCAGTGTTATAGAAAGAAGTAATGAACCCAGCAGCGTGTCAAGCAAACAACACTTTATTAAAAGAAGGAAAGCTTATGCGTACAGGAGGAAGCAGTGGAGAAGATGTCTCCCCAAGAGAAGTTGGGAAAGGGCTTCAAAGGCAAGCAGTTCCTCAATCGATGTCAGCATCTTGCTTCGTGATTTCTGGTATTTTTACAGTGTCACTGGTTGCAAGGGAGGTCAGATCCAGGAATCTTGTGTGTAACTCCTAAAGGGGTCTTAACATTAATCTGTAACTCAATCTCTACAACTACAGGAAAAGAAAGGATGAGCACATAATGATATGGTTTAAACAAAAGTAGCAGTTACACTTTAACAAGCTTGGGGATGGGTATTTTGTAGTTCAGCAAATACCATTTTTTCCTTATCTTAGTTTTTGTAAGAATAACTAGTTTCATCTTTTTTTTTTTTTTTTTCTGGGCTAAGGGGTAATCATGAGCTCTGCAGACCTCATGACTAATGAGTGGAAAAGTGCAGCTACCTTGCAACAAAATGTCTCCTGTAGGGAAAATGGAGTCGGTGTGGTTCACAGGCCCGCTCCTATCATGTCTTGATTATTTTAAATTAAAGGCCCTTGAAGGTCACCAGATGCTGGAAGAGGCTTAACTCTGATATTTCTCTTATTTACCTTAAGAACAGTCCTGCTGAGAGAATACAATGGCTTTACAATTCCCTCCCTGGAATTTGATTATATCAGGAGAACTTCACAAGATAATATCAAATTCCAAAGAGAATCAATTGCAAATTAATCCCTGTCCCTGGGTTCATTTAATCTCCCTACTGAAACATTTTACTACCCCCTCCAAAGAATTGCCTACATTCTCCTTCCCTACATTCGCCTTCTTGCCTCCCCTACGAAGATGTGTATACAGTCCTCTGGATCTCACTGGGATTTTGCATAATCACTCTCCTATGATTTTCCCCTGTTCACATTAAATAAAATTTGTTATCCTTTTCCTCCTATTAATCAGTCTTATTAAAACTTATTATCAGTTGATTCTTCAGCAACCTTCAGAGGCCAGAAGGTAAGTTTATCCCAAGGCCCCTACAACTCCTTTCCATTCTCTGTGCTGCTCCCAATGAGCTTCACAAAAACCAGATCTGATCATGTTAAATCCATAGGCTGATACTGGAAGATCCCTAAGATAAATGAAAACATGCCAAGTACAGAGAAGCACTTATAACATGCTTCTTCTGTTAGTGTGAAACAGTGGTACACACACACAGATGCTTCTACGTGTTTCTCTCTTGCTGCTTTTAAAATACGCTGTCTCTGGCTTTCTAGAATATATCTGAACAGATCTAAAAAACCTCAAGTGAAGGGGAGTCAGGATGGAAGGGAGCTGTACAAGCATAATAGGCCCTTTGCCTCATTCAAAATTTTCACTGAGTACTATTTCAATTAAACTATTTTTTTTTAAAAAGAATGTGTTTTGATTTGAGAGGGAAAATGATTTTTGTCTTCTATCTAGGTTTATTCCATTTGCTAGGAGATCCAGAGAAAAACTCCTACTGTATTTACTTCTTATCCAGTATGCAAACAGGTATTGACTGTTTTAGGAACTTATTGTGAAATATATCATAGATATCACAAATGCTATATAAAATGTGCTCAAACCACTTAAAAGTGAATAATATAATAAACATGTATACACCACCCTAGCTTAAGAACTGGAAACTTACCAATGCCTTGGAATCATACTGGGTATCCTTCCCCATCCCCAACAACTCTGAGCTGCAGTATACTGAGCAATGTTATACTCCCTTTTATACATATAAGGAAACACAGGCTTAGAGAGATGACTCATTTACTCAAAGTCACACAGTGGTGTGCTAGTGAAAGAGCTAGTGGGAACAGCTGGGCTCAGTGCCTGGTTTCCTGATTCCAGGTCCACTGCACTTTCTATTATGGCTCTGATGATTATCTTAATGTAATCAGACAGAAGAAATTTTGATTCACTATTTTTAGTCATTTTCCTAAATGAATGTAATCAGCTGCACTAGGGACAAAATTTATTGTCTTTAAAAATGTATAATTGCCTATTGAGAGGACGACAAAAGACTTCACAATGGCTTCATTTGTTGCCTAGGGGATCACAGAAGAAGGGCTGGTTTGAAACAACAGAAGCGTCAATAGGGAAAATTAGCTTTTCTCTTTCATACCCATCTCTGGTCTGGGGTGCGAGTAATTTCTGTAAAAGCTATGAAGGAGTTTTCATTTCCTAACATTTTGTTTATATGCTGAATGTCAATTTAGATATTTACCAGTAAATTACATTAATCTTCACTTCAGGAATATTCCTTTAACGAACTTGAGCTATATGATTGTATTGAGGTAAAACATATGATACGAAAAGGTGTGGCCACAAAGTCAGAAACTTTTTTTTCAAAAAAATTTTTTGACCGGTAAGAGGATCGCAACCCTCGTTATGGTGTGGTCAGCACCACGTTCAGCCAGTGAGCGCACCAGCCATCCCTATATAGGATCCGAACCTGTGGCCTTGGCGCTACCAGCGCCGCACTCTCCTGAGTGAGCCACGGGGCCAGCCCTTTTCTGATCTTAATGATGAAGAATTTGGATGAAAATAAGCAAATTCAAACTTGAAAGTCACAAAATCTAGATTATCAAATTTAGGAGTTGCATTTGGCATAGAGGGCTTCTTAAATCTTGATTTAGGATTTGAGAACGTTGAAGCTGGAAGAGGCTTTAGAGGTCATTGTCATGTGTATGATCTGCCCATGACGTGGCCCTGTCCCCTCTCAGAAGCCATCTCCTGCCCCTCCCCTTATCGCACTGGCCGCCATCATGGGTCCTTGCTGTGCCCCTGCATCTTTACCTGGTTGGCTCCACTGAGGCCTCACGTCAGGCTTTCGCTGACTCCCAGCTGAAAAGAGACCAAGCAGCCACTCCCCATGACCTCGCCTGGCTTTTGTCTTTTTAGCACCTATCATTATCCAATATCATCTTCCTTCTGTATGTATTTATTTATTACCTGCCCCCACTCCCCAAAGAATGGGAGCATTCGGAGAGCAGGAGAACTTACTCTGTTTTGTCTGTATCCCGTGTGTCTAGACCAGTGCCTGGTTGCAAGTCTAGAACTTCTCCATTGGGAGAAACAGTTCAAGTGGGAAAGCATATCAACGGTCTCCCAGGGACAACTGCCTTGAGAGGAGGTGACAATTAATTATGAATTGGTTTATGATACAGAATCTGATGTGTTGGGAAGCAGGAGGGTGAGACACAGGAAAAGGTCTCTCCTGACTTAGCCAAGCACAGAGAACGTGCTTTGTAGAAATGATGGCTATCACCCTGAGTGAGAAATGAAGAATGGTACCCCTCAGAGCTAAGGCTTAGCACATCCTTGACCACAAGCATCGCTGAGGAGGTGAAATCATCTCCCCAGAAGAAATACTGTGGCCCATCGGATTCACCTCCTGATGAATTGAGAAGATCAATGCAGCAATGGACGGGGACACATCATGTTGCATGGGGACTTGCTTTCAGCATTGACAACACATGGTAGTGACTGAAGAAAAGACAGCCAGCAGGGGTCCTGCTAGTGAGCCCGACCAGACCTCCTTTCTCTAAAGTTTTCTCTCAGGCAAGAGAACTGGTCTTACTGGATTATTAGAACTCATGGGGATCTTGGGAAAGGAAGGAGAAAAATTGCAAACTCCTTGCTCCCCTACTATCAGATGGCTTGAGCTGGCTTTAATTCAATCTAAATAGAGTGGCACATAATTCAGCAGTATCTACTAGAAACAAAATGCTACAAATTAGGAATCTCCCTTGCAGGAAGAGTATACCCAGATATCTGGACAAGAATGCTCATTGAAGCATTGTGTGGTGAAAATATGCAAACAAGCTAAATGTTCATCAACAAGGGACTTGTTAAACAGATTAAAAAGGATGAGGTAGATTTATACATGTGAAAGGGACCCTAGCCAGAAAAACAGCCATCTTTGGGGTTACTAAGACCAAGCAGACAGTTTCAGTCAGCCATTAACTTGGGAACTGATAATTACAATTCCTTGAGGTTAGCAGAGGAATTGAGAGATTGACCATATGGCTGAGATTGCCTGGAGATGAAATCACCCCCTTAAGTTGATTTACCTCAGAGACTGTGCACCTACAATTAAGGACTAAAACTAAGTTTCTTACCTCTCTAATCAGCTGCAAACGAGGAGATATAAGAGAGAGGCAAGACAACCTAGCTGACTGTAAACTCGCCCTCTTAATGAAAACTACGACCATGTTAATTAGAAATCCAAGTCCGGTATTTT